AACGGACATCAGTCTAAGATTTTAAATGGACTGATAAGAGCTGAAGAAATAAATGGACTGGAAAAAAAATTCAGAATGGAAGCCACGTAACTACAAAAATAAAACACAGTGTAAACTCCTATAAACAAAAGCAGAGAGCAAACAAGGATATCACTCAAAATTACTAAAAGGAGCCACAAGAGGAACACAGATACACAAATGATAAGAAGAAAACATGCTAGATTTAGAAGACAAAAGAGATAAAACATAACTATATGGTTCCTAAAAAGTGAGCATTATTCAAAATATATGCAAAAATATTAAAGGATCTTAAAATTTTACTGATACAAAAACAGACTTAAATCAACAGATATTACGGTACAGGATGCACTTGGAAAGTGACATAAAACAGCCAATGCCCATGCAATACTGGTAAAACTCTAAACAAAAAGAATAAGAGAACCCCATGGGCACATCCAATGGAAAAAACTAGTCAAAGGCAAAAGAAACAAACATTCACCCAGCCTCAGCTTTCTCCTCCAGAAATATCCAGTGCTAAAAAAGAATGGGAGCAATGTCTTAAGAAATTTCGAGGGCAAAAAAGTGTGGCACAAGACTTTGGTACTCGGCCAAATTGTCCTTCAAATATAAAAGCAAGGAACAGCTATGCTTAAGTGTAAGACCTCAAGGAACACAGTACCTACCGAGGGCTTCTCTAAGTAAAACACTGTGGCTGGCATGGTGGTTCACCCCTGTGATCCCAGCACTTTGGGAGGCCAAGGTAGGTGGATCACTAGAACCCAAGAGTTTGAGACCAGCCTGGGCAGTATGGCAAGACTCTGTCTCTACAAAAAATGCAAAAATCAGCCAGGTGTATGGCCCTGGAGTTTGAGGTTACAATGAGCTGTGATTGTGCTACTACACTCCAGCCTGGGTGACAGTGAGACTCTCTCTCCAAAAAAAAAATAATAATAATAAGTTAACAATATTATTTCTAAATGGTAAGATTTAGGGTGAATTTTTTCATTTCTTCTTTGTACTTTTTTGTCTTGTTTGACTTTTTTTGTAATATGAATGTATCCCTCTTTCTAAACAAGTCACTTTTTAATAATAAAGAAAAATCTTATTGCTGACTTTATTGGTTTTGTGCTTCTCCATTCCCGCCAGGCAAAAATCTAAACTTAAGTCTATTCACTTATTGTTATTCCTATTATTGACCACTTCACAGGGAAAAAACTAAAATCCGGGGCAGTTAAGTCGTTTGCTCTAGGTCACAGCACCAGGGTGCAACCTCAGACAGCCAAACTTCATAACATGTAAGCTAACAGAATTACTGAAGTTCATTTGGTTCATCCCATTTTTTTCATTCACTTAGTAGACTTCTGTGGGCCTAAACCAGCGAGGAGAAGTGCTATCTGCAATGAAACAGCTATGCTCATGCATGCCTGGTGGATTACCTACAACAAAACTCTTTCAGAAAGTGACAAGAGTGAAATTCTGTCTCAAAAGAAAAAAAGTCTAATAAATGCTTAATCAGTGAGCCAAGATCACACCACTGAACTCCAGCCTGGGTGATATGGCAAGACTCTGTCACAAAAAAATAAAATAAAATAAAATTCTTAAACTCTGTAATTCTGTTTCTAGGAATCTAACCTAAGAAAGCAAATGTAAAGACAGGGAAAGGCCTATAAATGAGGAAACACATAGTCTAACAACAAAACCATAGGACAATAAGGCATAATAGAGTCATACAATTGATCAGCATGCAGGCATTAAAATGTACATTATGGAGAAATACTAAGGAACAGGGGAAAATACTTATCAAGAAGCCAGTCCACTAACATTCCTCATTCAACACCACCAACTGCACTCAGGCATTCACCCCATTCCCTCCCAAAATCCCACTAAAATGATAAACATTATTTTACAAAGGCAGACTCCCACAAAATGAGCCAGAAGAAAGAGACAGCAGAGAAAACAAGAACATCAATAATATTTTAGAAGAAAGAAAGTGAACTGAAGAATCTTAACTAACTTGGAAGAAGGCTGAAACTGAAGGCTGCAGAGGGAGATGACAAGCAGCAGCACGCCAATTTCAAGACAAATCCCAGGAATTGCAAGAATCAAATACCACTGAAAACAGATATGGCTGCATACAAGAAGACTGGCTGAGAATCTGAAAAATCTCTGATATGGTTTGGATATTTGTTCCCTTCCAAATCTCATGCTGAACTGTGATTCCCAGTGTTGGAGGTGGGGCCTGGTAAGAGGTGACTGGATCATGGGTGGATCTCTCATGAGTGGTTTAGCACCATTCCCCGGTGATAAGTGAGATCTTGCACTGAGTTCACAGTCTGGTTGTTTAGAAGTGCATGGCCCCTCCCACTGGCCACATGACACAGCCTGCTCCCTCTTTGCCTTCCACTATGATCAACTGGAAGTTTACTGAGGCCCTCACCAGAAGCAGATACGAATGCCATGCTGCTTGTACAGCCTACAGAACTGTAAGTCAGCTAATCCTCTTTTCTCTATAAATTACCTACCGTCGGGCATTCCTTTATAGCAATGCAAAGGTAACACAATATCCCACCCCATGAAGCCAGGCACCTACCCTTTCCCTAGCCTGGCAGAAGCAGGAGATTATCTCTTTTGTGGAGGCTGAATCTGGGAGAACCTATGCTCAAAGGGCCCAGAAACAACCAAAGGTAAGAATAAGATGCTGTACTGAAAATGAGGGATTAAGTCAAAGTTTGCACACCAAATTACAAGGCCTTCCCTTCTCAGTCCACTTCTACAGCTCTTATCACAGAACTTCTGCAGCAAAGATCACAGCCCACAGTGGAACCATGAGAGAAGTCTTCTCTGTAGAAACTCGAGAACCCGGCAGAAAAGACCTACAGACACTGATATGGTTTGGCCCTATTGCCACCCAAATCTCATCTTGAACTATAGCTCCCATGATTCCCCTGTGTTGTGGGAAAGACCCAATTATCAGAGATAGTTGAATCATGGGGGCAGTTTCCCCCATACTGTTCTCTGGTAGTGAATAAGTCTCATGAGATCTGATGGTTTTATAAGAGAAAACCTTTTCACTTGGTTCTCACTCTCTTGTCTGCCACCATGTGAGACATGCCTTTCACCTTCTGCCATGACTGTGTGGCCTCCACAGCCACATGGAAAGTCCACTAAACATCTTTCTTTTGTAAACCGCCCAGTCTCAAGTATGTCTTTATCAGCAGCATGAAAACGTACCAATATGGACACCAACATCTATTGGTCCCCAATAAAAAAGACGTGTTCCAACTGAGTCACACAAGGGAGAGTCCACCAGTGTACAAGCTCACAATACCAGTGGATTCCAGCCAGGTTTTATGTGCCTCACTCTTAAGTATAAACAGCTGGAGATAACCAAGTATTTTAGAAAAACTTCCAACATGAAAGATGGGCTCTAACGGTTGAAGGAAAACTTAGAATTACTATCCTAAGAGAAAAATGACACATGGTGGACTGTTCTTTACACTGTAAGCTTATTCATCTCATTTCCTCCTACTGAGGATGCCTTGGTGTCGAGGAACAGAGACCCACACAACTTCTCCCTCTTCCCACAGCAGCCACTATTTTGTAGGCACTACCAGTGAGTTAAATCTCATCTTCCATTCTAGTAAGCAAAGGGATAGAACCTAAATTTGAAAAAGAAATTGCACATAACATTTTATGACATGCAGCTGGAATCCATTTAAATTCTCTAAGTGAATTATTTCACAACTTGAAGATAAACACAAGAAAAAAAGGACTACAAATATTTGAAGGTAGGTGCGGAGGTTGGTGTCTGTAATTCCAGCACTTTGGGAGGCCAAGGTGGATGGATCACCTGAGGTCAGGAGTTCCAGACCAGCCTGGCCAACATGGTGAAACCCTGTCTCTACTAAAAACACAGAAGTTAGCTGGGTGTGGTGGCACACGCCTGTAATCCCAGCTACTTGGGAGGCTAAGGTAGGAAAAATTGCTGGAACCCAGGAGGCAGCGGTTGCAGTGAGCTGAGATCATGCCACTGCACTTCAGTCTGGGCGACAGGGCAAGACTCTGTCTCAAAAAAAAAGGAAAATAATTATCTTAGGTACGAGGAATTGGCGTGTGGAGAAGCTGGCCAGGGGACAGCTAATTTCCATTACAATACGTGCTTGATAATTTTTTCTGAAATGTTTACATGTGTTACTCTTATTTCAAAATGAAAGCCGGCTACACAAACACAGGTGCAGTGGGATATGACAGTCTTTTAACAAAGGCTAGATGAAAAGAACAGAATCAAAACTGTTGACAGTGGTTATCTTTGAGGGGAGGGATTATAGGTGTCTTACTTTTTACTTGTATCTTTTTGCTTTCTGCACTGCGCATGTGTTGCTTTTAAATACACATTTCGAGCACCTGTGTTTTAGGATAAGCACCACAGGTTCTCTATGACCTGGACTGATTCCACCCGGTCTTTTAAGAATCTGTTGAAAAATAAGTGTGCACTGAGGGAGCTGAGGAGCAAGTGAAGATGACTGTCAAGGAATCCATCTGAGGGCTAGGGGGGCAGGTCAAGGGAAGGAAGGGCAGGGGAAATTGTAGTTGTTTTTTGCTTTTTTCTTGGAGACAGGGTCTCGCTCTGTCACCCAGGCTAGAATACAGTGGTGTGATCTCCTTTCACTGCAACCTCTGCCTCCCAGGTTCAAGCAATTCTCCTGCCTCAGCCTCCCAAGTAGCTGGGACTTCCAGCACACGCTACAACGCCCAGCGAATTTTTGCATTTTTAATAGAGAAGGGGTTTCAGCATGTTGGCCAATCTGGTCTTGAACTGGTGACCTCAGGTGATTTGCCTGCCTTGCCTCCCAAAGTGCTGGGATTAAAGGCATGAGCCACCGCACCCGGCCTAGAAGCAGCTTTTCTTTTACATGCTTTTGCTTTTTAGGACAGCAGGGGCCACGCCCCACGTGCACTGCTGGGAAGGTGACGTAAAGGTGACGCAAAAGCGGCGCACGCCACGGCTGTTTGAAGCCTGAAACTCAAACATGGCAGCACCATCTTCTCAAGGAAGGACGGCCGACCAGGCAGACCAGACGTGCACCTTCCTCCTCAAAAAGTCTGGACGTAAAGGGGCTGCAGGCCTCAGAAAGCGCCCGGCCTGCGACCCCGAGCGCAGAGATAGCAGCAGCAGCGGGGACGAGGGTGACGTGGTGGCTAGGCCCCCGCGGGTGGCACCGAGGCCCCGGGGCCTCCATGTCTGGCAGAAGGCGGCTCACTGCGACCTGAGGAGCGAGGAGGCAGCACCCGAGAGCCTCGGCGTGGTATACAGGTCCACCCGCTCGGCAAAGCCGGTAGGGCCAGAAGACATGGGGGCCACCGCTGACTTCGAGCAGGACACCGAGAAGGAGCGCGATACACAGGCCATCTTCAAGCGCAGCCAGCGGTTGCAGGAGGCACTGCGGGGCCGGGAGCACGACCAGATCTACCGGGGAATCCACAACTACCCAAGGTACCTGAAGCCCAAGGACACATCCATGGGCAACACCTCCTCAGGAATGGCGAAGAAGGGCCCCATCCGTGCGCCGGGGCACCTGCGCGCCACCGTGCACTGGGATTACCAGCCCGACATCTGCAAGGACTACAAGGAGACCGGCTTCTGCGGCTTCGGGGACAGCTGCAAATTCCTCCATGACCGTTCTGATTACAAGCATGGGTGGCAAATTGAACAGGAGCTGGAAGAGGGCCGCTACGGTATCTGCGAGGACGAAAACCATGAAGTGGGAAGCGAGGAAGAGGAAATGCCATTCAAGTGTTTCATATGTCGCCAGGCCTTCCAAAACCCAGTGGTCACCAAGTGCAGGCATTATTTCTGCGAGAGCTGCGCGCTGGGGCATTTCCGGGCCACCCCGCGCTGCTACGTTTGCGACCAGCCGACTGGCGGCATCTTCAACACGGCCGACTGGCGGCATCTTCAACACGGCCAAAGAGCTGATGGCGAAACTGCAGAAGCTTCGGGCTACAGAAAGTGGGGAAAAGTCCCATTTCACAGAAGACCCCGATGAGGGTAAAATTCCCATGGCTTAGGTTTCCGATAATTCTCACACTTAAAAATACACTTTGTTGTTTTTTAGGAAAAAAGAGATGAGAAAGACTCAAGTCTTTCAAGACACTGGGGAGAAGCGGCCTGCTGAGGAAGATTAGAGATGACAGCCCTCCTGTGATCCCACTCCTGGGTATGTAACAGTAAAAACTGAAATCCGGATCACAGAGAGGTATTTGCATTCCCATGTTAACTGCAGTGTTACTGGCAAAAGCCAAGAGGTGTAAACAACCCAAGTATCCAGGGATGGATGAATGGACACACACAGTATCATACATACAGACAGACAGCCTGAACAGGAAGGATATCCTTTTAAAGATTTAAACGGATCCTTTTAAGAATCACATGCTACAAGTTGAATGAACCTTGAAGACAACACTGTGCTAAGTGAAGGAAACTAGTCACAAAGAGACAAATATATTGTATGATTTCACTGATATAAGGTATCTAGGGTTGTCAAAATTACATAAAAAGAAAGTAAAATGGTCGTTTCCAAGGGGCTAGGAGGAGCAGGAGTGGCGAGTTGTTTAAAATGGGCACAGAGTTTGAGCTTTGCAAGAGAAAAAATTTATAAAGCTCTGTTACACATAAATATGTATATAGTTAATACAAGTGAACACAAAAATGGTTAAGAGGGTAAATTTTATGTTTTGTACTACAATTTAAATTTTTTTTTTTTTTTCAAAAAAGCTAAAACAAAAGAGGTATCTGATAGGAGGAATGACGGAACCAAGACTGGGAGGAATGGGAGAGGATGGGGTTCAAGAGTTAGTAAAAGAGCACATAAGGGATATCAGTTAAGAACCGGGCCGGGCGCGGTGGCTCAAGCCTGTAATCCCAGCACTTTGGGAGGCCAAGGTGGGTGGATCACAAGGTCAAGAGATCGAGACCATCCTGGTCAACATGGTGAAACCCCGCCTCTACTAAAAATACAAAAAATTAGCTGGGCATGGTGGTGCGTGCCTGTAATCCCAGCTACTCGGGAGGCTGAGGCAGGAGAATTGCCTGAACCCAGGAGGCGGAGGTTGTGGTGAGCAGAGATCGCACCATTGCCCTCCAGCCTGGGTAACAAGAACGAAACTCAGTCTCAAAAAAAAAAAAAAAAAAGAAAAACCAAGGAGGGGAGGAGTTGACAGAAGAATATCCAGACCTAAGTTTGGATTTGATTTCGTTTGACTGATGTTAACATCCTCTCACTTAAAATGACAACATATTCCTCTCCCAAGACAAACACCAACAGATCTGCATTGAGTTCCTCACAGCTGAGTTCCTTACAAGAAACGGACTCAGATTATGTAAATTTTCATAAAAGCCTATCTCATATTTCAACTTCGGCTGTGAATTCCTTGAAGGCTGGAACCATGTCTCACATACTTCCTGTTTTTGAATGGCCAACGGGTATCTCAATAAAAAGTCCGTGGAAAGTCAATCAAACCAAGCAACCTAGCAGTTGGCTACCCAAGCATCTGCTGCAGAGCGAACGTCAGCAAAACTTTCCACTTCACTTTGATCTTGAACCACGCCCATCCACCCACCCACCACCATGGCCAGGTTCTAGTCACAGGCAGAGCAGTGATTGAGGGCACAGACCCAGGAGTGAGACAGGATTCAAGTCATAGTTCTACCAGTTACAGCTGCATGAACCTTGGGTATGTTACTTTACCTCTCTGTGCCTCAGTTTCCTCATAAGTAGTATCTATCTCACAGGGTTGCTTTGAAGTGAAAAGTAGCAAACTATTTAGAAGAGTGCCTGACATACAGTATGTGCTGTAAACATATAATTCAAGCAGAGAAAATGGCAACTTGATAGTCGATAAGGTAGACAGTTCAAGTGTCCCATAAAAGTGAGCCATGTATTCTGGCATTTCACATAGAGCTTTCTCTAAGAATTGTCCTTGCCAAAGCTAACAACACAAAGCTCGTGTACAATGACTTACTGGGCCCTCCCCCTAAGTCGCTTCATTTTTGTCAGTTCTGTCAAAGGGCTATTTTATTCACTTTCAAGCCTTCCAAAAACATTTAGAATCTGCACAAAAGAAGAAATATGAAACATGCAGGCACTCTGAAGCAGAAACTAAGCTCCGGCTCCAGCATTTTCCTCACAAGGCTCACTTGAGTTTCTTTACAATGATTCATGTGTGTTTCAGACCTCCCCCCAATAGACACCAGACTCAGCTACACCTGTGAACCTTGTCGACAAATGCTCCAAGTCACCAACCTTTTGAAAACATTCCAAATATACACTAAGATATATAGTTCTTACTCCATTTTTAAAATGACAGAATAAGGTTCGTGATCGATCATTTGCAAAAATTAAGCAGAAAGGCGATCACTGCCATTGCTAAACTTGGCAATTTGGTTTACTAACATAGAGTGTTAAAATCTGCTAACATTTTTGGCCAGTTTCCTTCCAGTCTTTTTCTGTATATTTTTCACATTAATATATGAAACAAACATTCTGAAGTTGGAAGGAAAGCAGCAAGCAGGACTGCAGGGAGTGCACACATTCGCTGGGAGCTGAGTCCTTCCCATCAGCACACTCCAAGGTCACAACGCTGGAGCGACCCCTCAGTCTTTTGCTGAAATAGCAGAGAACAGGGATGAGGGCAGTTCCCCATCAGCACTGCACCACCCTACACAGCACACTGCTGGGGAATTGAAGAGCAGTGTGAGGCCAGCTGGCTTTCAAAGTCAGCATCGTGGTTACCGCACTTTATCCTGTCTGGACTGGGTCCCACCACATCACACCCCATCCCGATCCTTTCTGTCAGAAGAACACATCAGCCAGGCTGCAGTTAAGCAGCAACTGACTTGACCTTTTTTCTGCTCACTTTAGGCACACGTAATGGTTATTAAGTCCTTCTGAATCAACATGAGCAATGTGAGAAAAATATGGCAAAACCAAACAATGCTTTGATGTTTTCATTAATTTGCATGGACTTAACGGAGGCAGCTCCAGTCCCCCTCCCCATGACGGCGAGTTTCTGGTTAGGGCTTCTGAAATCCTGAAAATGCCTCACAGGCCTGCACTCCAGGGTCACAAAGCCCCTATGATTCCAAAGACTCCAGGCAGAGAGGCAAAAACCTAGAGCACATGAAAATCGAAACCTGAACACATTGTACTCAGATTGATTAATATCTTGAAATATACAAAATTCCTTCTAAGGAATTTTCATAAGTACCACCTAAAATTGAAGAAAACAGGAACATTTTCCTGTTGACTTTTTCTGTGTGCCAACTGCCCATAAAAATTCCTCTCCTGTTTTGCAAGGACAGAACTCTCAAGAACAAATGACCTAATTAAACCTGAGATTTCCTGGCTGAGAGCTATGTAGAAGGCTGAAATGCACTGAAATGATGCTGAATTTGAAAAGAGCTCTGTGCCAAACCGATGCAGTGAATTTTTTGAAGTACATATCCAATGCTGGAGCTAAAAAGCATGAGAAAGACAGACATCCTTAACTACTTTTATTTATGAAGCAACCAGAATGTGTCCCCACTTATCTACTGCACATTTTTCAAAATGTGATTATACCACACTGTGAATGTATCTTTTTGACACATTCCATTGGTCTGCCTTTGCTGTTGGGTTGTTGCCATTGCAGTACAATAGCGTGAATCTGCCGTCTCTCATCCGAGCTTTCAGCAATGTGCTGTTATCTCATATCTCCTTGGACTCTAGACTCCCACCCCCACTGATTTGCACAGATGTTCAAGGAGAAAGAATTCCTTTTTTCTTTAAATGAATGTCAAGGGCCTGGCAAAATCCTGTACTAAGAAATACAGAAGTCAGCACTCTTGAAAAGCTGGTTATTAGCTCACTTCCTTCTCTCTCCAGCTTTTCCACTTGCAAAAAAATAAAATGGAAACTATCATACTTGCCCAAGGTCTAAAATAAACCAGGAAGTGGGCAGGTTAAGGTCTAACAGGTAACTTTTCTCTGCTCCTGTCTGTTGAACGTTAAGGAACTGTTCGTTTCATGTATTATAATGGTGCTGTACTAGAGGCAGCTCTGTGATTTTCATTTTTTTGGCTATAACCCCTGGGGAGGTGAGGTCATGGGGAAATTCCAAGGGGGTCAAGGAGACCAGAAACCTAGCTGGTCACATAACTGCTCAGTGGCACTGACGGAGACCAGCCCCAGCCCTGGTGCCAACCCCCATGATGCCCTATTTTCAGAGCTCTGCTGATCCTGCCAGTTTCTCCTGCCTTCCAAGCACTCTGTGCCAATGGCCACTGAGACCTCCCTAAGCAGCAGAAATGAAGTCAGTCTCCACACCCTGGTGTCTGGAGGACTCCCACTGAGAAAAGTCTCATTCACAGCTAATCAGAACTAGAATTCTCATACATTTTCCTATCCCGCCCAACAAACAGCAAAGTGCAGAAAAAGAACAGCCGGATTTCCATGGCCCTGCATCGTCAGTGACATCTTCTCTTTGTTACCATCCAGAAGAGAACTGCTGCACTGCTATGACGCTGCCAGACACCCCCAGGGCACAACATCTGCAGTCAGAGACTTAGAGCAAAACAAAACCAAACCTCAGGCTGAATTAGATTTTCTGTGAGATAAGAAATAAAATGAGATATAGAAATGTGACCGAAACCTGTGTGCAGGTACATGCAGGGGCGCAAGTCTGAATGGTCAACTCAAAAACGTCATTCACACTCTCATGCGAGTTCAGAGTGTATCAGGGAGGGAGGTTTTAAGGAAATCATATAAATTAGACTAATCCATGAATATCTGACTGAATCTGCACCCTTAGAAAATAAAAATTTCAAGCCGAGGCAGGTGGATCATGAGGTCAAGAGATCGAGATCATCCTGGACAACATGGTGAAACCCCATCTCTACTAAAAATACAAAAAATAGCTGGGCGTTTGGCATGCGCCTGTAGTCCCAGCTACTTGGGAGGCTGAGGCGGAAGAATCGCTTGAACCCGGGAGGCGGAGGTTGCAGTGAGCAGAGACTGTGCCACTGTGCTCCAGCCTGGCAACACAGCAAGACTCCATCTCAAATTTAAAAAAAAATAAATTTAATAAAAATAAAAATTTTGCACCATTGTTTAACAGTGTAGCTCTGGTATGATTACTGCCGTTACAGTAAGTTTTTAAACTGTCTTATTTTATACCTTAGTAAAATAAAATGGACTTACAGTTAAACATGGCAGATTAACCACATGCCTGTTTGCATACCAAAAAGCCTATAAAAATTACAGTAAACATACTTATTTTAAGAGGACCATACACACACACACACACACACACACACACAGCAGCAGGAACAAGAGCAGATGAGAGATTATACTGGCATTTGGGTGATGGAAAGCAAGAGGGGTCTGTAATGATTTGTATCATAAGTGATGCTCAGAGATTTCCAACAAAATAGTCCAAAGCCCAAGAGGCTCATGCTGAAGGGGAGGGGAAAAGGTGTGGGGAACAGAGGGTGCGAGTCATTATACGAAGAGGCTAGATCTTTGCATCCAGGGACCTTCTCCTACCTGCCCCAACCCCCAAAGAAGTGTATTACCCAAAGACATTGCACCAGGAAGGTTAGAAACTCACATACACCAGGCACAATGATAAAGAGGGTGTGTGTGTAATTCATGGCTGAAAATGAGGCATGGGGTGGCGGGAACTGAGGAAGAATCAGTCTACTTACTGTACCAGGGAACCCCACCATCCCCTTCCTCCATCCTGCTTCCTGAAGAGCTTATCCAGGTTTATCCCAGGCAGGGCTGGTGGAATTATCCTCAGGAGACTCTCAATGAGCACACATACTGATATTTGAGGGTTTCCTTTGACAAAAGACCAGTTGCTGCTTCATCATTTTAAAGAAAAATCAATAATTTACAGGCACCATCCATGTGCACAAAAATTCCAACCCAATTTTACGTGTCTTAGATCAGCCAAGGTTCAGTAAACATTCAAGGAAAGCCTGCAAAGTGAAAGTCAGAGCCAAAACAAAGACGAGGAAAAAAAGCCTTCTACAAACATGTAGAAGTGGGTGGCTCACACCTGTAATTCCAGCACTTTGGGAGGCTGAGGCGGGTGGATTACTTAAGGCCAGAAGTTCAAGACCAGCCTGGCCAACGTGGTAAAACCCTGTCTCTACTAAAACTACAAAAATTAGCCGGGCATGGTGATGCACGCCTGTAACCCTAGCTACTTGGGAGGCTGAGGTGAGAGTATTGCTTGAACACGGGAGGCAGAGGTTGCAATGATCCAAGATCACACCACTGCATGTGACAGAGTAAGACTGTCTAAGAAAAAAAAAACAATGCAGACATTCTAGGGAGAAGAAAATGTTTTAAAATGTATTCCTGGAGAGAATAAGAATCTCTTCCAAAATACAGGAAGAGATGCTATGAAAAAAGGCCAATAGCGCCCCAAAATTAACCATATGGATAATTGAAAGTTTTATTTCTGTAGTTAGTTGAAAGATTAATTTGAAGAGATCTCATAGAAAGTAAAGCAAAACATAACTAGATGGAAAATTTTAAAGGTAGGAAAGTAGAGAATCTTCCTAAAGCCCTAGTGAACAATAGGAAATATTTTTAAAAGAATTAAATTATTTGTTAAAAACTTAGGAAATGTGTCAGACTGATAGACAATGGTCTCCAGACTAAATGGAGAAAGCAAAATGCCCGGAATAATTTTAAAAGGATCTACACCGAGTTATGAAACTTTAAAATCATCTTAAGAGAAGATTTTAAAATGTCCCAGGGAGAAAAAGAAAAATATTAAATCATACACAAAGTATGTTAGAAGACAACGGAGCAATGTCTTCAAAATGTCAAGGATAATTGTTTCCATTTTTACTTCTGTGTGTAGTAAAATCATCAAGGAAATCTAAGCATGCCTTAAAGTTTTGGTGGTGGTGGTGGTGGTCTTTCAGAAGACAAGACAAGGTCTTACCATGTTTCCCAGGCTGGTCTTGACCTCCTGGCCTCAAGCAATCCTCCCACCTCAGCCTTCCAAGGAGCTGGAATTACAAGCATGTACCATTGCATCCAGCAAAGATATTTTTATATGTTAAAGATTTAAAAGAAATATAGCTTCTTGTACCTTTCTGAGAAAGCTACTAGTGTATGCGTTCTACCAAAACAAGGCAATAAACCGTGAAATCAGATGACACAGAAGAAGGAGAGTAGAGGAGAGCCCCTGGATGACGGTTGTGAACTAGGCCTAGAGTACAACCCATTCAGACTGAAGCTGAAGGATGGGGGTGCTACAGGTGAAGCACCAGGAAAAAGGATGATGGGGGAACTGAGTGGCTATATATGGCTTAGAGATAGTACAAATTAATTTAAAGACAACTGATAGGTCGGTTGAGGCTATTAGCAATGGATACATGGAAAAATCACAAATTTTTAAAAATGAATTATCTCAACAGCAATAAAAACACAGTTTTGGAAGAAAATCCTCATAGGGCATTATCTGGCTCGGCAGTGAACAAGTCATAATAACGTACACACCAACAGAGCTAAACAAAGACTGCACTGCGAACCACATTGGGTGAGTGCAGTAGGGACTGACAGTTGATCCCTCTGCCCGCAGCAGGAAGTACAGGACACCTGAACATTTCAACTACTTTTTTTTTTTTTTTTTTTTTTTTTTTTTTTTTTTGAGATGGAGTCTCACACTGTCGCCCGGGCTGGAGTACTTTAGATCCATCTCGGCTCACTGCAACCTCTGCCGCCTGAGTTCAAGCGATTCTCCTGCCTCAGCCTCCCAAGTAGCTGTGATTACAGGTGCCCACCACCATGTTTAGTTAGTTTTTTGTACTTTTAGTAGAGACAGGGTTTCACTCTGTTGGCCAGGCTGGTCTCAAACTCCCGACCTCGTGATCCACCTACCTCAGCCTCCCAAAGTGCTGGGATTACAGGTGTGATCCCAGCCTCAACTACTTCTTAAACAGCCTCTCAGCCCATGATCCTGTTTTCTGATCTTCTATCAAGTCCACAAGGTCTCAAAGCGTTTATCACCCCACACAGTTTGGGAAGAGCTCCACCAGAACGAAGGGGAGAAAAGAGAAATCAGAAGACAAGCTCCAGGAAACAGATTTCAGGAAAGAGACGCAAAAGGGGTGATCAGGGTCATGGAGAGATCCCTGAAGCTGTCCAGGACACAGATCCTACATCAGGTAATAGAGGCAAGGGGAACACCCCCCCCACCAAGAATACAGCAGGGGGAGACCCCAGGACACTGACCAGGCCAGAGAGAAACCTGGTCCGTCTGAAGACTTCTGGACAAGGGTCTCTCAAGGATGAAACAGGATATCTAATGATCTGATTAATCTGAACAGACTAAAAGGCGATTTAGACAACAGGTGAGAGTTTCAGAATTAATTAGATAAGGGTGTGAAAAATGAAGCAAAGGAAAAGCAAGATAACTGTTAACTCCAGGGAAAACGAAATTGGACAACAAAGGAAAATTAGTATGGTATATTCATGAGCCACAAAGCTCATGATGCAGTTCAGCTGTCAGTAGTCATAGCAGAGTCTATTACAACTGCATGGCACCCAATCTGATCTATTGTAAGGCTCTTGATTCTTGTATAGCTGTGCATCATTACTACTGATTATTATTAGAAAGATAAAATTAGATCCCAGTATTATACAAGTCAATGTAGATTTTTTTAAACGAACCATAAAGTTCTAGAAGAAAATATAAGATTTTTAAAAACTGATTGCAGCCAGGCGTGGTGGCTCATGCCTATAATCCCAGCACTTTGGGAGGCTGAGGTGGGTGGATCGCTTGAGGTCAGGAATTCGAGACCAGCCCGGCCAACATGATGAAATCCTGTCTCCACTAAAAATACAAAAATCAGTCAGATGTGGTGGTGGATACCTATATCCCAGCCACTCGGGAGGCTGAGGCAGGAGAATACCTTGAACCTGGGAGGGGGCTGCAATAAGCCAAGATCACGCCACTGCACTCCAGCCCAGGTGACAGAATGAGACTCTGTTTCAGAAAAAAAAAAAAAAAAAAGTAAAACTGTTCTCAAATTGCAGATCTCTGTAAGCATGACCTAAATGTTAGAGGCCCTGGCGGGGAATGGGGGGGACAACTAAAAAAGTGCAAAGCCAAAGCAAACTACAATGTAGGAAAAAGCACTTGAATTACATATTATAAAGGGTTGATTTTTTTCCCTATACAAAGGAACTCCTATAAATCAAGAATTCTCCACATATAAAGGAAGTCCTATAAATCAATAAGAAAAATATTTGCAACCTCATGGAAAACTGGGTGAGGGACAGGAACAGGAGAGGGATGGTCAAGAAAATACAAATGGCTTGTCAACTTGTCAACATGTGAAAATGTATTTGACCACAATGAGTAGTAAGAAAAGCGCAAAACTACAATTAAGAAAAACTGGGCCGGGCGTGACAGCACATGACTGTAATCCAGAACTTTGGGAGGCCGAGGCAGGCGGATTGCCTGACCCCAGGAGTTCACGGTAAGCCTGGGCAACATGCCAAAACCCGATTTCTACTAAAAATACAAAAAAATTAGCCAGGTAGTTTCTCAGGAAGCTGAGGTAGGAGGATCCCTTGAACCCAAGGAGCTCAAGGCTGCAGTGAACCATGATCACAACAATGCACTCCAGCCAGAGTGACAAAGCGAGACCCTGCCTCAAAATAAAAAATAAAAATAAAGAAAGAAAAATTGGCATCCCACTGACAGATTAGGGCAGGTGAAAATATATGCCATCACTGTGGGTTTCAGGCTTGGGAGAAATGGCCTAAGCACAGTAATTAAGAGCCAACAGCAGATCCAGATTGCGGGGGTTCAGATCTTTGCTCACTACTTACTGGTGGCAAACGTTGGGCAAGTTACTTAATCACTCCTCCCTCAGTTTCCTCATCAGCAAACTGTGATAATACCACATCTCCCTTACAGGTAGCTTTGGGAGTTAAACAATATTTGTAAAACATTTTATATAGTTTCTAGCACAAAGTAAGCACTATGTACAAGTTCATAAAACGAATGAACGATTATAAGGTTGTAAACCGTGAAGGGCAGTATGGCATTATCCATGTATATTAAAAACAAATAAACCCTTTGACTGCTGGTCCTACTCCTAGGATTCTATACTTTAGGTATCAGCGATCTTCAGAGCAGCATCATTTAGACCAGCAAAATATTCAGAACAACCTAGATGTCTATCAATAGGGAAAATTTTACAGATTATTTAATGGTACCCCTCTGTTTATATGCCAATAAAGAGAATGAGGCCAATCTCTATGTACTAAATGAAACCATCTTCAGAATGCACTAAACTGAAGAGAACAGGCACAACACCATATCTAGGGTATGCTACCATTTATGTTAAATGTCTACGCATAAAATACTTCTGGGCCCAGCCAGGTGGCTCACACCTATAATCCCAGCACTTTGGGAGGCAGAGGCAGGCGGATCACCTGAGGTCAGGAGTTCGAGATCAGCCTGGCCAACATGGCGAAACCCCATCTCTACTAAAAATACAAAAGAATTAGCCGGGTATGGTGGCGATGTGTGCCTGTAATCCCAGCTACCTGGGAGGCTGAGGCAGGAGAACTGCTTGAACCTGGGAGGCAGAGGTTGCGAAGCACCAAGTTCATGCACTGCACTACAGCCTGGGTGACAGAGCAAGACTGTGTCTCAATTAAAAAAAAAAAA